ATTTATTTTTTTTTCGAATTTTTCGAAGTTCACGTGCTCTTGAATTTTTATCTTTAAAGAACTCCTCGAAGAACACGACAGTCCCACTGATATTCCGCCCGTTAAAATGGCCAGGAAGTTCTATCGTTCCTGCATGGACACAGGTAGGGAAATTGCAACGACGTTCGCTCGAATACATGAACCTTGGCGCGTGCATAATTATTCGAAGGAATTCACGTATTGATTCGCGATAGTGAAGCGTATTTGCACAGCCAACGCACTTGTCGATAGGAAGTCTGCCTTGTCGCGACGAATAAAATTATTTCACCGAGGGATGATCAATGTAAAGAAAGGAGGCAGTTCGTGCAATTACACTTGTGGGAAAATTCTATCAGCAAGTATAAACTTTGAATAAATTAACTATCTTCCTCCTCTCGCTTCGTTTTCTTACGATCGAAGAGCTTTCTGCGAACGAGAGAACGTCTGCTTCTTCCTTGAGGCATAAACTCGAATAATTATGACCGCTGCGGTGTACCACTTTGCAAGAGTCATCTTCATTCTTGAAAATGTTGTGCAAAGCTTTTTTTTTCGAAAAACGTCGTAGATGCAATTGAGAGAAGAGGCGTTAAGCCGATTCAGGAGATCCTCGATCGTACCGGAGGATGGCCAATGGCGATGCCATTAGACGAGTGGGATCCTGATGGAACACCCTGGCAGAAAATTGACAAGGAATATGTGACGTTGACCGGAAACAGTGCTTTCTATAACATCGAGTATGAAATCGATTTGAATAACACGAAGCGCTACGTGTTGACAGTAAGCTAGAAATATAATTAAGCTGGAAAAAATTCTATATTTATGATTTCTCGCTCTTTATACCGAATCTTGTATCTTTCCCTTCGAAATGTGAAGAATCTTGAACTTATAGCATTATGAAATGCCATAGAGAAATATAATGTATAAAGCTCTTTCAATCAATATTGTAGTTAGATCAGGAAACCGAGTATCCTTTGTCGAGTAAGAAGGATCTAAATAAAATATTCTACGATGACGACGAATATCCGAGTGGTATCTCACGCATAGTCCAAGCTTTCGCAAGAGAGAAAGGACACACTTTAAATCGTCAGCAGTTAGCCACAGATATAGCAAGAATGGTGTACTTTGAAATCGAACTGCTGCAAGTAATTATCTTTTCCCTTCGGAGAAACTATAAATTATCTCACTAGTTGAAGTACGAAAGATATATGCCGCGTTCTGTTTTTTTTTTTT